TAGCGAGTGAGAAATTAAGTCCTGTGCACGTAGATACTTATTCTGTACATTGCATATGTGTGTACATAAGTACAGACGCATAGCCAAAGATCCCCCGTATATCCTTAAACGATTACTGGGGCAAGTGCTGTTAGCGAGCACCTATGAAGGCCGCCACAGCACCGGGTCAATATGAACAGACAAATGGGAGACACAGAGACACGGAGACACACCAACACGGAGACACACACACAAAGACACACACGGACACACAGACACGAATACAGACACACACACACAAAGACACGAATACAGACACAGAGACACACACACACAAGGACACACACGGACACACAGACACGAATACAGACACAGAGACACACACACAAAGACACACACGGACACACAGACACGAATACAGACACACACGGAGACACTTAACTGTATATTTTGCACTCGGAAATGGTACATGCATTATCCTCATGTTTGTCCTATTAAAAAATACAAATGTTACATTTTACCACAACTTAAGTATAAAGGTTACTTGTTATACAACCCTCATGTAAACACCCCTATCGAATAACTGCACGTGGCATATATGTGGCCAGTTGTAACATCATTCATCTGTGTTTGTTAACTGGCGAAATAAAATACATTCAGTGATGTGTTGACCCTACGACAATAATATCCATCATGATCATCGGCCACGATCAATCCACTGCTGGATGAAGGCCTCCCATAGCTGTCACGATCTCTCTCCAAGAGTCGCTCCGTCTCACCGCATGTTGGGACGAAACTTACTTTCGGGCGCGTACAATTGTTGCTGTCTATTTTTCTTGCTGCTGCTGCTGCGGCTGCTGTTGTTGTTGTTATCTCGTTATGCTGGATAGCCGTACTCTGAAATCCGCCTTCAACCGCGAAACATGGCATTGTTGTAGATTCTAAGTAGAAGGTGCAAATGTCGCCGCGTGTGGTGGACCTTCAACAACATCGCGACCGGTCTCTCTGTCTCTGTCTCGCGGTTCACATTCTGAGACGCTCGCTCGTCACCGTGGCGTGCGCGATGACCACCACCACCACCACGTGACTTTTCTTTCGTGTTGTGCGCGCTGCATTTAGCGCCACAGCGCGTGGATTTATAGCGTTTGTTATTTGTGTTGCTGGCGACTGACTGTGCATTTCATATCGGAATCGCCTCCAGTACTGTTGCTGCTGGCGGCGATAAAAGTTGTTTAAAAGTCAAAAGTCTCTCTCGCTCGCTCTCTCTCGCGCTCCCTCGCACGCGAGAGGCGCTTGGTCGTGCGTCGAGTTGCGCCACGTTGCGATTGTGCAGCGCGATCCGTTCACAAATACCCCCCCACCCCACCACCGACTTGGAATTGACGCGATTTAAACTTCATCGACTATACCGGAGGAGACGAGCGCTGTGTCGCTGGACTCCGTCCCTGAAGATCGGCGTGGAGCGACGCGCACGGAGAAGGCGTTGATTACAAATACGCGCGCGCGCACACACACACACAGCACGTTGTTTTCCACGTACAATGTAAGAGCCGTTAATTTGGTGGGGTGTCTTCAAATGGATCGCGCTTCAAGCAATCAATACAGCCCGAGTCGAAGCGCCTCTTGGCTTGAGCGAGCAGTCGGACATTCCCTGCATGTGGCCACTGCATTTTCTCTCCCCACCCCTCCCCCCTCGCGGAAAAATATGGTATTAATTTTAGCGACCCTGTAGAGATGATGAGCTGCATATTTTATTGTGTCTTGTTTTGCTGTATGCTAAATATTAGGGTTAGGATTATTAGTTATATCATCGTGGTAATTACTCTTTTGCCGTTATTTTATATATACCCATATATACACATTTGTATATGTAGGTATATATATATATATATACCGGAATAATGCCAGAATATACATTATGTGTAGCGATATATCTGCACATAATAAATAAAGGACATTTTGCAATAAATGTCCTTTATTTAACCGATTGGCATTGTATTGGAATTCGTAACACGTAAGAGTCAAGATAAAGTTGGTCGACTGGAGTGTAGTAAGCGCACATGAGACAGTGTAAACACATACTAATATATATCGAGAGCCACGTAGCGTGTGGAGGTCCATACACACATATAGTCAATAGTATGTACGTGTATTATATATATACACATAGATGCAGTGTGCGTATAAAAGTGCAGTATGCACCAAAATATGAAATAGGTGCTCACGAACAGTACTCACTGCTCCAGTCTGTTTAAAGTCATCGCGATGATCCTGTGCTATTTGAACATAGAAAGCTTGCACATGTGATTTTTTTATATAAATGTATTATATGAGCATATATATGCGTGTATATATGTGTGTTTGGGGAGCGGTAGTGTAGTGGTTAGCGCGCCCCGCTACAAACCTGGCGCCCCGAGTTCAATTCACGCTCACGGCCAACACCAGCGACGATTATCTGAACCGGTCCTGGGCCTCCCCCCCCTAGGTCGGCTCAGCCTCAAACGAGTACCTGGTGGCGATGTGTAAAAACATCGCCACTAGGGAGTCAAAGGCGGACGGGCGTGGTGCTGGCCACCCAAACCCCTCGCGTGCCGTGTCGGCCTTCAATAGGTGCTCGCTAACAGCACTTGCCCCAGCAGTCTGTTAAAGGCTAGCCGGGGGATCTTTGTGTTTGTATTTAGAAAAGAGTGGACGTAAAAAAACACATTTCGTTAAGCCGTCTGTATATCTCAACATTAATATATCAACTTATTTGCGGCAGTTCTATATACGTCTCGTTCTCTCGTATGAATGCAAAATGTTCTCTCTATAGATGTAAAATCCGCCTTATATAATATTATCCGGATTATAAGACGCGCTTTGTGTTTCAAAGCAAAAGCTCATGTGCGTCTTATAATCCGGTAAGCGTGTGTGATTGTGAGTGTCCGTGACCAGATTGTATAACTTTATTTATTGAGGTGCGTCTTATTTCCCGGAGCGCGTCTTATGATCCGGTCAAACCAGTAAGCCAATGAATGGTTTCCAGTTAAACAAATACATCGATAGTGATTGTAAGAATTCTGCTGTCGATTAATTATGCGTCTGCGTGTGCCTGATTTAAATATGCGTTTAAAGAAATCTGTCTTAAATAGAATACGAATGACATACACGTCAGAGATTTAATTACATTAAATACAATTTAAACGACACAAGCGTGTTTCGTGTGCGTAAAGCAGAACTTATATTTATAAATTATTTGTTATTTATTTTTTACATATATATAACAACTAATTTTATGATAGTGCATTGACAATGGTACACAAGCACAAATAACAACAAGCAAAAAACAAATATATATATCGGTGACGTTTCGGGAAATGACCCTTCTTCATGGCACATTATTAAACAAAAAGTGTAAATCACAGCACACGACGCCGCTCGTGGCCGCTACAGAAATACATCTTTTAACTAAGTTACGTAATTTATTCGAGTAAAAACATAACAAAAATACATGTTTCGAATACCTGGAGTCAATTCTGCTATTTGATAACGGAGACCTATGAACGTGCACGCATCAGTACAGTATATATACTGTATAGCTACAGCACAGAGGGCAATTCTAGAAACAAGTCATGTATATTTGCGTACAAACAGCATCACCATTTCATGCAAATTATAATGAAAATTTCCATCGTGTAGATATAATTACAGCCAGCGTGATAGCTACCCCAAAAAGCGTGTTGGAAAGGGAAATTAATGATATAATTAATTTTAATTATACAGCACATAACCTCTACACTTAAACGCACCTCCGATTAGCACGGTCGGCTGTGTACGGTGCGAAAGAAGTTCAACATATGTATATATATACACGCACACGCTGGACGCACGCACACATATGTAAAACACAACACAGTAAAGTAACGTAATGATCTCACTAAATGGGGAATATATAAACTAGACGTTTCGGCCACACAGCCACAGCTAGCTTTTTCTAATAATACAATTGTAAGTTATGCAATATTATTTGAAACATTATGGTTAAGGAGAGTCAAATCATTACATAGGTTCGCTTGACTGTCACAAGACATCAACGTTTCGGCAGAATGGCCTTCTTCAGGAACCATTGATGTGTAGAGGTATTGAGTCTAATATATGAGGAACTGTGAGTGGGATTTGCTGGTCGGTGATGGTAGATTGGGCAAGGAATATTGTTGGTTTTAATCGGGGTTAATAACAAGTACCAGGAGGCATTCTGAATTAGAATGTCTGAGCAATGTTAAAAAACTGAAATTGTTTAATTCTTAGCCTATCATCCATTTGAGCCCGATAAAACGATTACTAATTTGCCAAAGATATGCAATACAGTTCCATCAATACTTGCAGTCACTCACCCACCCATTGTCTCATCTACATACTGAAACACTCACTCGGTTACCCACTCACCGATTCACATGTCTCCTCGACTATTCAGTCACCCACTCGTTTACCAATTCACACACTCCCGACCCCACCACTCATTCACTCACCTTTTGTCTGCACTCATTCAATCATCCACTCACCAGCCCACTTAATCATCTGCTCACTCACCCACCTACATATCCACTCACCCACTCGCTCACACACGCATCCCCCTAACTCACCCTCTCTGTCGCTCATTTACATACTGAAACACTCACTCATGTGTTCACCCACTCACTGACTCACCCACGTACTTTACTACTCGACAATTCAAGCACCCACTCGCTCGTCCATTCATCCACGTATCCACTCACTATCCTACCCACGCACTCACTTTTTTACGCACCCATTCAATCACCCACTCACTCACCCGACTCACCCACTTGTTCTAATCACCCGTTCAATCATCCACTCGCTCACTCATTCACTCACCCATTCACTCTCCCACCCACATACTCACTTGTTTACTCACACAATCAATCACCTATGCACTTCATCCACTCACCCACCCACGTATTCATCCGCTCACTCACCCACCTACTTACCCATCCACTCGCTCACTCACTCACCCACCCACTCACCGTCCAACACGGACAACCCAGGCTTCTGTTCCCGGCTCCTGTCACAATGCAGTCCAGAACCGTAAGCACAGCTGCCTTGCTGCTGCTGCTGTTGTTGTTGCTGCTGCTGCTGCTTGCAATTGTCCTCTGCACCTCCGCTACCTCCACCTCCTCCGCCGCTGTTGCTGCAGCTGGGCTCAGGAATCGGCGCGTAGCTTGGCTGCTGCAGAGTCGGGTAGCCGGGCAGCATGTCCTCAACGTACGTTCTCCCCGCCACAGGAACGGTGAGTTTCGCGTAGAGACCCTCGGGGAAGCAGCATTCACGCGTGGCTGGGGCGCGACGGCCCTGGAGAGAAAATCCAAACTCTGTGCCTTCCATGGTCGGCATGTTCCAATGCGCCACTGCTACCACCAGAACTACCACCACTGCTACATATAGCGCTTGCAATAGCACGCGTGCCTGTGTGTGTGCAGGATGCGCGCTGGCCACTGTGTACGCCTACGGACGTACGGGGGTCTATGTGTAAGATGCGTGTGTGGTGCTAGTCACTACCGCCTCCGCGTTGCGCAGTGCCGCGTCTTAACAGATGCTCGCTAACAGTGCTTGCACCCAACAGTCTGTTGGTGAAGGACTGTACGGGGTTATAATCTGCGTGTGCGTGTACGTGCATGTGTTCGCGAGTATGTGTGCGTGCGCGCGCGCGTGCGTGTGTGTGTGTGAGCCGCTACTGGAGCACAGAGTCCAGATTTGGGGCTGTTGAGTTGAGTGCCGAGAAAACCCTCGCCTCCTAAATAACGGGGGGTTCCACACTGAGCCTCGCAGTGGGGTGTCGCGAGTTGGGAGATGCAGGGAAGCGGGTGGTGGGGGTGCCTAGGAGAGGCGGAGCTGGGAGGAGAGGAGGAGAAAGGAGATAGGGGAGGAGAGAGGAATGGATAGGAGGAGAGGGGGGGGGGAGCATTAAGGGCACTGGGAGTTTGTCCGTTAGAGGGAGACGATCTGGAAGGAGAGGGGAGGAGAGGAGGGAGGGGGTGGTGGGAGAGAAGGGAGGAGGAGAGGGGGGGGGAATGGAGAGGGAGGGGCATGAGTTGTTCCGTGATTTGGTCCGTTAGAGCGAGATCATTTCCGAAGGCAATGAATATATGTGTCTGTGTGTCTGTGTGTATGTTTGTGTGTGTGTGGGGAGCGGTGGCGTTGCGGTTAGCGCACTGCGCTACGAACCTGGCGACCCGGGTTCGATTCCCGCTCACGGCCAACACCCAGTGACGATTATCTGAACCCGGTACTGGGACTCCCCTAGGTCGACTCAGCCTCAAATGAGTACCTCGTGCGACGTGTAAACATTGCATTCAAGGACACAAAGGCGGCCCGCGCATGGTTCTGCCCACCCACCCCATCGTGTGCCGTGCCGGCCTGCACAGATGCTCGCTAACAGCACTTGCCCCGACAATCTGTTGAGGCTATACGGAGGATCTTTGTCTCGGGTTGCTGGTGGTGGCAGTGAAAGGGAGAGTGTGAGTTGGGTCGAGGAGGCAGAGAGGGAAGAAGGGTAGAGTCGGGTGAGTTGGGGTAGGCTCCGGAAGCTCTATACCGTTACACCTCTCGCAATATTCACAATCTGCTATCGACGTACGGTACCTCGCCGTCGACCTGTGCGCCTGTGCGCGCGTATCGATGAGCGCGGGGTTCGACTCCCGTTCGCGGCCACCACCAGTGACGATTATCACCACCAGTGACGAACAGGGTCCTCCCCGAGGTCGACTCCGTGTCGCGGTGTTGTCACACATCGACACACTCGGGCGATGGCCACCCACCACCTCGTGTGCCGCGCACATCCATAGGCGGTCGCTAGCGGCGCTTGCCCCAACAGTCTGTTGAGGCTACACGGGGAATCTTTGTCTTGGTGCGTGCGCGTGTGTCTTGGGCACTCGCGCGTTGAGAAGCGCCGAGTTCAATTCCCCGCTCGCGACCAAAAAAAACGGCGACAGAAAATCTTTGAACCCCGGGACTCGCCTAAGTCGACCCAGCCTTAAACGAGTGCCTGGCACGGTGCATCCAACATCAGCGCTGGGGAAGACAAAGGCTGCCGGCCGAGGCGTTGGACACCCACCCTCTCACGCGCAGTCGCGGGACTTAATGGGTGCTCGCTAACAGTAATTTTTTAAAGGTTATATGGGGGGATCGTTGTTGTGTGATCGCCAACATGAGGGTGTGCGTGCACGTAGACACATGTATGTTCGCCTGTGTATGAACGTAATGTCTGCATGTAACGTGCATTATGCAAGTATTGTACATGTTTGCGCGCGTGTAATTATATTCCAAGGAGTGTACAAGCGCTGTGTAATAAACGCAGCACACTTCTCAATAATACTGTCGTGTGGTCTTAAAGGAAAACAATATTTAATAGGCGGTGTCCCTTCATCATAGCACATCAATAGAGACGGCACAGATATACCGCGATAATTACATGTTTAAAACGTGTTTTTGCAATGAGCAACTTTTAACAAATATATATTCGACAATAATTCTCCCCGGGCCCTCTATCGTTCCGCGACCTCTCCTTTAATGTTGTTATAAACAAAGGGCGGTTGCCTATATATTTATCTTTTCCCGTTGAAACCCACGCAGTGCGCTACCGCTCAACGTAGCAGCACCAACACCAATTGGCGCATCTGTGTGAAGCTACGCCTGGCCGTGCATGTGTGCCTCTGTGAATGATTGTAATATTTGCATGTGATACTTGTATTACGTATCTCGTACGCGTGTGCGATCGCGTGCGAGTGTGTGCGTCTGTGTCTAGGTCGACTCAGCCTCGAATGGGTACCTGGTGCGGTGTGTGAACATCGCCGCTAGAGAGACAAAAGCGGCCGGGCGTGCTGCTGAGCACCCACCCCCTGGTGTGCCGTGCCGCCCGTCATAGGTGCTCGTTCACACCACTTGCCCCAACAGTCTGTTAAGGCTACACGGGGATCTTTGTCTTTTGTATATGAATGTGATTTAAGTTATGCGTACGTGTATGTGTATGTACGTGTGTATGTACTCGTGTGGGGAGCGGTAGTGTCGTGGGTATCGTGCTGCGCTACGAACCTGGCGACCCGAGTTCGATCCCCGCTCACGGCAAACACCAGTGACGATTATCTGAACCGGTCATGGGCCTCCCCTAGGTCGACTCAGCCTCAAATGAGTACCTGGTGCGTTGTATAAATATCGCCACTCGGGAGACAAAGGCGGACGGGCGTGGTGCCGGCCACCCACCCCATCGTGTGTTGCGCCGGCCTTCATAGGTGCTCGCAAACAGCACTTGCCCCAACAGTCTGTTCAGGCAATACGGTGGATCTTTGTCCGTGTGTGTGTTTGCACGCGCGCGTGATGGTCCATGATTTCACCACTACCAATTGATACCTGAATCTGCGCTCGACTCGGCATTAAATAGGTGCCCTTGTGCAAACCCTGTGAACATTAGCCCCGGGGAGACAAAGGCGGCCGGGAGCGGTACCGTTCACAGCCAGGTGCCCGAAAACAATTGTCCCCAACAGTCTAAAAATACCAGACGGGAAATGTGATATTTGTGTGTGTGTGAGAGAAATATGCAATGAAACGAGAATTTAAATGCGTTTGTGAATAGCGTTTTGTGTTATGTACACTGCAATTTACACGCGTGTGTACATAAATGTAATTATAAATTAAATACATCGACTTCGTTTCATTCGGTATTAATTGAGACGAGTACGTTGCAAGTCTCGATATATGTCCATTGCTGTGATAGGCCTGCACGTTGCACGTGAACCCGGCAATCAGAGTTCGATTCCCGCTCACGGCCAACACCGGTGACGATTATCCTAACCAGCCATGGGCCCTCCCCTAGGTAGACTCAGCCTCAAATGAGTACCTGGTGCGGTGTATAAACATCGCCACTGGGGAGACAAAGGCGGCCGGGCGTTGTGCTGGCCACCCACCCCCTCGTGTGCCGTTCCGGCCTTCATAGGTGCTCGCTAACAGCACTTGCCCCATCAGTCTGTTATGTCTATACGGGGGATCTTTGTCTTTGTTTTTTGTTGCGCGTATACAAAGTGTGCATAGAATGGCCAATGAGACACTAACATGCTGTTCATGCGTACATTAGTAATGTCAATAGACATTTGCACAGATACACTTGGACGAAATAAGCATTGTATTATATAGCAAGTGTTACTAATTAATCTATCCACGATAGATTCATTAGTAAAATACAATCGTGTCATGTTATATTTGTTACGGTAATACAAAATTTGACGTTAGCGGATGTGTAACAATGTGCGTCTTTGTCCTTTCTCTACATGTATAGCGGCGAATATTCTAACCGGTACCGGACCTCGTCGCGGTCGACTCAGCCTTAAATAGGCACACCGTAGTGCGAGTGTCGAAACATCAGCACTGGTGACACAAAGACGGCCGGACGTGGTTCTAGAAGCACCACTCACGCCCTTGTGTATCCGTGCTGGCCTTCATAGGTGCTCACTAACATGACTTGACCTGAACATTGTATCAAGGATATACGGGACATCTTTGTCTGGACGTGTACATCTATCTATATATATGTATGAGACTTCACAGGGGTTTGCTAACAGCACTTGGCCCTAACAGTTTACGTAGGCTATACGGGATGTATTTGTCTTTGTACGTGCGAATATTCGTATGTGCGTGTACGTGGCCTTAACTATTGTGCGAATGTGTTCGTAGCCCCATGTGCATGTCACAATAATGTCCGTGTGTATCGACTCTTTGTGTATTTGCTGGCGTGGATGTATATGGGGAGTGGTACTGTAGCGCTTAGCGCGCTGCTCTATGAACCTGGTCCTTGGCCTCAGCATCGAATTGAGCACCTTGGTGCGATGTGTAAACATCGCCACTAGGGAGACAAAGGCGGCCGGGCGTGGTGTTGGCCACCCACCCCTTTGTGCGCCGTTCCGGCCTTCATAGGTGCTGGCTAACAGCACTGCCCCAACAGTCTGTTATGGCTATACGGGGGATCTCTTGTTTTTCTATATATATATGTGTGTGTGTGTGCTTGTTATTGTGTTTGTGGCACACGTGTGTCTTTGTGTGTATGTATGTGTGTTTATGTATGCACTTTAAACTTATTTCGCACCGTACGTAGCCAACCGTGCTAATCGGATGTTATGTGTGCGGTAGTACAGCGGTTAGCGCGCTGCGCTATGGACCTGCTCACCCGGGTTCGATTCGCGCTCACGAACACCACCACCCAGTGACAATTTTCTGAACCGGTCCTGGGCCTCCCCTAGGTCGACTCAGCCTCAAATGAGTCCCTGGTGAGATGTGAATATAGGGAGACAAAGGCGTCCGGGCGTGGTGTTGATCACACCCCTCTCTCGTGCCACGCGCAGGCATTAATGTGTGTTTGCTAACAGTAATGTGGAGCACTCGTTACGTCGCCAGGGTTATACAAAGACTATATTTTTTTCGAAGGAACATGTCGAGCCTTCTTCAACAACTCAGACACTCGGGGTACGCTTAACGGTCAACGTTATAACAACTTATTTGGCGGTAGCGCTGGGTTGGCGTTGGTGCACGCAGACACAACGAACACGAACAACCAACAACATTCGTCAAGAACACTGGTCTTAAATATACGTTAAATGTAAGTTATATCGGTAGCCCAATGGTGCTATGAAGAAGGACCACGACCCGAAACGTCGCCTATTATATAATTGTTATTTTCAGGCAATATTAGAATGTATTATTATTATTTTTACAAATATATTTGCTCTCAACATATATGTACCAAATAAAATCAAACACAGATAAATATATATGTATGTGTGCATTGCAACGCTAGTAATAACGAGTCATGTACAAAGTAGTGCCCTGAAAATGCTTCTCAAGCATGAGTGCT